GTGATCTTATTAATTACCTCTGTTGGGATCTGACGACGTCCATCTTGCCACTTGACTCCTAGAAACTGAATTTCCTGAGCTGGTCCCTTAACTTTACTTCGTTTAATGGCAAAACCAGCTTTCAGCAGAATCTGGATAATCTCTCCTTTCTCAAAGACGTCCCCTGCTGTGCTCCCCCATACAATGATGTCATGGATATACTGTAGATGTTTGGAGGCCTCACCCTTCTCCAGTGCAGCCTGGATCAGCCCATGACAGATGGTGGGACTGTGCTTCCACCCCTGGGGCAGACGATTCCAGGTGTACTGCATGCCCCTCCAGGTGAAAGCAAGCTGAGGCCTGCATTCTGCTGCCAGAGGAATGGAGAAAAATGCATTGGCGATATCGATAGTGGCGTACCACTTTGCTGCCTTGGACTCCAGCTCGTACTGCAGTTCCAGCATGTCCGGCACAGCAGCGCTCAGCGGTGGAGTCACCTCATTCAATGCACGATAGTCTACGGTCAATCTCCATTCTCCTTCAGATTTACTCACAGGCGAGATGGGGCTGTTGAAGGGTGAGTGGGTTTTGCTGACCACCCCTTGGCTCTCCAGTTTACGGATCATTTCATGGATGGGAATCACCGAGTCTCTGTCAGTACTGTATTGCCGGCGGTGTACTGTTGTTCTGGCAATTGGTACCTGTTGCTCTTCAACTCTCAGTAGTCCCACAGCAGAGGGGTCATCTGCAAGACCAGGCAAGGTGCTCAGTTTTCTAATGTTGTCTGTCTCTACAGCAGCTATCCCGAAAGCCCAGCGATATCCTTTTGGGTCTTTGAAGTATCCATTTCTAAGATAGTCTATGCCAAGGATGCATGGGGCCTCTGGGCCAGTCACGATGGGGTGTTTCTGCCACCTGTTCCCAGTTAAACTCACTTTGGCCTCCACTACAGTCAGCTGCTGGGATCTTCCTGTTACCCCAGAAATAGAGATGGATTCTTCTCCTACATACTTTGATGGCATCAGAGTACACTAGGCGCCGGTGTCAACCAAAGCCTTATGTTTTTGTGGGTCGGATGTGCCAGGCCATCGGATCCACACAGTCCAATAGATCCGATTATCCCTCTGCTCTACCTGGCTAGAGGCAGGGCTCCTCTATTCCTGATCTTGGTACACATTGCTCTCTCCCTGTAAATAGGTTCTTGAGGTTCCTTCAAGAGGATTAGTCATATCATCATTCTGATACTGTCTGGAGTTCTGTACACGAGAGATTGGAGCAGCATTGACTCTAGATAAGCTTCTTGTGTTAGGTGTCCCTCTTTTCAGCTCACGTACCCGGGCTGCTAAGGAGGAGGTGGGTTTTCCATCCTAATGGCAGAAACTCTTGTTGGTTCTGGCGAGATCTGGTAGTTGTTTTCCTTAAGTTCTTTTTTTAGTTTCTGATGGCCCTCTTCAGTCAAGCTCTGGACTTGCTCCACCAGCCTTGTTTCCACAGGTGAGACATGGGTACGAAATGGGGCTGTGACAGTGTCCTCATAAATTCTTAGTTTATTGGCCAAGACGCCTACCATGTCCTCACCTTCCCTCCACTGCAGCATTGCCAGGTAATGGGAATACATCTCTGGTCCAAGCCGTGCAAATCTCAACCACATCTGTGACGTGCACTGGACACAGTCTGGGCTCTTAGGAAATCTCTCATCTTCTGAGAAAATTATTTCCAGCACGGCCAATTCCCTCAGGCATCAGATACCTTCTTCTATTGTGCTCCATTTTCCTTGGTGCACCTGGAGATCTTCTTTACAAAGGTATCTGTCCTTCACACTTGTCAGCAGTTGCCGCCAGAGGCTGAGAGTTTCTTGGGTTCTCCCAATCCCCTGGTCAATGACCACTTCCTGGGACAGAGATCCCAGTTGCCTGGCCTCACTTCCATCCAGAATGGTGTCATTGGCTGCAGTGTCCCAGATGCGGAGCAGCCAGGTCAGGATGGACTCATTTGTCTGGCGGGTGAATTCCCTCCGCAGGTCACGCAGCTCACCCAGGGATAGAGAGCGAGTGATGATTTCTGGCTCTGTCACTTCTGCTGGGTGTGAAGGTCCTGCCACGTCCTCGTCAGTCACTATGTGGACTGATTTGCTCTTTGATTTCTTCTTCTGAACGGGGGCAACTGCTACGGGTCTAGGCTGTTCTGGTGCAGTGATGGTTTGTGTGGAGATGCTGATGGCACTTCTGGCTTTTTCCTCCTCTGTGGCAGTCTGCGTAGACACAGACACTGTTGCTTTGTGTTTGGTTCTTCTCCTCTTTGTGACATTCTGTGCAGACGTGGACGAAGTTGATTTGTTTCTTTTTTCCTCTTCCTCAAGAATACGCTACAGTACACCATGTAGTGTTTTGTTTCTAAGCGTGTTGTAGGCTGTGCAGAGGAGACAAAGCTGAACTAACAAAAACATTATGCTGTCCTTGGCATCCAGTGGGAACTCAACATTTCCAAAAACTACTGTATCAGGCTGGAAAGATTGGAAAAAATCATTCTTTACCCCTCCCTCCAAGGGCTGAGTGTGATTGTTAAAACCCCGGATGTAGCAACCTAGACTAGGACAAGCAAACAAAGTCGAGTATATATTCCGAATTATGTTCATTGCCTCAGAGGTTATCATGCAGTGACATAATAGGCCAATAAAGCAATTTTTATACCATATCCTGGTCTACACAGGAGCATTACAGCTGG